AATTGAGTCGTCATTGATAATATGATAAAAACTGACAGTGAGAGGCCCCTCCAACAAATTATTGAAATTTACAGTTGATAGAGAAACACTATAACCTCATTTGGTAAGCAGCTGGCAAGCACCTGTACAAAGCAGGCCCTCCAACACAATGAGGGGCTTATAGAAGAAGGGAAATCCAAAACTATCACAGAATGGTTTCAGACTCCTGCTCCTGACTGTGCCTGTATTAGTATTAGAAATATCTTCCTTAGTACTCTTCTCTTGACCAGGGGGCTTGTGGAGCCCATTATTATTTATTTAGCAACAATAAAACAAAACACATTTCATACAAGCACAATACCCAGCATGGCCCTACACCGGGGCTAAGGGGCGCTACAGCCCCATCATAAATCTGTCAGCTGGTTAAAGATGTAGTCAAAGCTTTTTACTTAAATAATGCTCAAAGATCCCTTTTCTTATGACCTGTAGTCAACATCACAACGAGTGGAATAGATGAAAACTGTTAAATTAGTAAACTAAGCAACATATCTTTACAAGTTTGACAGAACAAATATACATTTTATACATTTATGAAGATGAATAAAATGTGTTTTATTCACTAAAACTGCAATCATGTACAAGAGACTTAAGCAAAATACACATTCAAAATATGTCTTCTCCACTTCACCATAATGTCACTTAACATTTACAATCTGTGCCAACATTAAGAATTCAACATGGCTTTAAAGTAATTACTGAGAAAATATAATTTATAAATCATTTGGCAGCCCAGCTAAGTTTATCTCATATATCTAAATAGGCAATATATTGAGTGCATGCTTCATTGATCAAAAGTGTTGTGGAGCAACTTATCAAGCACTCATCTTTAACTACTATTCAAAGATCATTTTGCTTTCATTTACACTCTCTACTCAGCTGAAATCACTTCAGCATGATAAGACAGTCAATTTGGATGTCAGCTTTGGCTACAGTAATCACGCTGGCCACTAGATAAATGTGACTTTATTTATTTATATTGAGCCCTGTGCGTGTCTAGTTCAAGATAATAGTTTCATTTTCTAGAGAAAGTTTGCCAGCTAGCCTAATTGTGGAGTAAATGTGACAGATTTCTGCTTCATTAGGATTCATCAGGCTGACAAAGAAGGATTTGTAAGATGAATCAACAATAGCAAAAACAATATGCAGGATTCTAAGGACCTCAGGACTTCGCTGAGCCGACCTAAATACATTTCAAATCACTGAAGACAAAAGAATAAAGTTACATTCTCAAATTTGAAAAATACAAATCATATAAAAATATACATAAAGATTTATAATAATGATAGTTATAAAAGTTTACAGATAACACATGTATGATATAAATAATGTAATGCAATTTTCTCTTCTACCTAAGGAAAAAGACAACACGTGCTGCGAGTGGTTTGAGGGGTTTATGTGAAGAGAAATGAAAGTAAAGTCAGGAAGGTTTTCTCAATAGGGTGAAAATGATTTATTAAAATACTATAAGAGGAGGTTGTATAAATCATATAAAAAACTTGTTGGTTAAAGACTGTAATTACATTTTTTCAGCTTTCTTGAGAAATTGTTTTAATAAATCTTAAAGTTCTAATTAAAGCTTTCTCAAGGACACTCAAAGAAGTCAGTGTAAAATATGAACAGGTTAAACAAAGGTAGTGAACATGGACTGTATTGATAAGACATAATATGATAAGATAACGCTTTATTAATTCTTAACAATGAAGTTGTTAGAGATAATCTATTGCATAGCATCATGTCTTAGACATTCCCCTGCACCTCCTGATTTTCCTAGTATGATCTAAGCTTATATTATTTACTTTCTACTTAATTTAAGTGAAACTAAACTTCAAATCAAATATGGCTGAAACAGACAGAATGTAGCTGTTTCCATAGAAATGATTCAGTAGAATTAAGTTTTGTTATGACCGGTCAATGTAGTACTTATATTATATATATGTTATGTATGTATATTATATATCCAACATTTCTTCATTATTTTCCCACTTAAACTCAATAAATAGAATAGAATAGAATAGAATAGAATAGAATAGAATAGAATTACTTTATTGATCCCAAACTGGGAAATTGTGTCGTTACAGCAGCAGATTGTCCAAACACACAATATGAGTAAAAAAACACAATATAATATTAAATACAAAGTAAATAAGTACTAAAAGATATCAAAAATAAGAATGTGAATATATACAACCAGGATTTCACTAAGCATTACTAGTCTTAAATAGGAAGATTAAATATGGAAGATTAAATGTAAATGTGCAAGAACAGAGTCATAAATGGTAATAAATTAAATATGGAAGATTGAATGTAAATGTGCAAAAACAGAGTTGTAAATGGACAGTACTGACATAAGTTAAAGTGCATGAGTGTAGACATATTATAAGCAGAAACTATACAATATAATGGCGAGTAGACAGCCAAATGAAGTGAACATGAGTGCAGGGATAATTTGTAAATTTAACATGTGCAGAACAGATTACAGTATGGAGAGACAGATATTATCATGATGACAGTTCTCTGCTCGCATGAGGTGAGCTGTTGTACAGAGTTATGGCCTTCGGTAAGAAAGATTTCTTATATCTGTCCTTGTGACAGCGGAGTTGTATCAGTCGGTTGGAGAAGCTGCTGGACTATTTGTCCAGTAGGGTGTTCAGAGGGTGATCAGGATTATCCATAATGGATAACAGTTTGTTCAGAGTAAATGTAGTAAATGACAATAAATGATTGAATGAATCATGGTGTAAACTGATTGTTTGAGTTTACTTGTCATCACCAGATAGGAAGTTGATATCCATGATGTCCTCTGTAATGTTTGACATCAATATATTCTCTATATAATTCCATGGACATTTTGGAGGGTTTTTGATGACATCAAAATGTTCTGCTTCTCAAATCTAAGTTATCTATGACATATGACTGAATATTGGTGACACACTCCTATTATTTGTTTTTTTGGGTGGAATAGTTTTCCAAAGTTAGAAACAGTAACTTTGAGAGGTAATTTGGCATTTTTCTGCTTCCGGCGCAGGTGGCCGCCTGTTGCAGCAGCTCCCGTCGTCCGTGTTGTTATATCGTATTTTTTGATTAGTTATTATTTGTTTTTACTGTGTGTTTTTTGAGTGTTAGTTTACTCTTAGTGCTTAATTACTTTGTATTTAATATTATATTGTATTTAAATTAGCTAATATTGTGTTTTTTGCTCATATTGTGTGTTTGGACAACCTGCTGCTGTAAGGACACAATTTCCCAGTTTTGGATTAATAAAGTAATTCTATTCTATTCTATAAAGAATCCACGTGTTCAATTTACACATAAAAACGAGTTAAAACAGTAATGTTAAAGCAAAGTAGAAGGAATCTTCTGCCCCTCATTCGCTCCACAAATGGAGGTCGATGCTCTCAGAGAAAACCTTTGACGTTCAAAATATAATTCAATGGACTCCTTCTCTCAGGCAGAGTCCAAAGAAAGTTCTGGAGCACTGGAATCACTAAAGGGAAATGCAATTGGTGCCAATGTAAATGTTAAAATGTTAGTAATGTTAAAGCTTTGTTAAACATTAAATGACACTTCTTCAATAAATGCATGAGGGAAGGATGACAGAAATGATGAGACAGAAAAGTTCACAAAGCATACAATCTACAAAACCCTTGGGCTATCACCTGACATACATTAATGAAGTTCAGATATGATGATGTTACTGACTTCTAATTTCTTCTATTAAAAGTTGGTACAGAATCCTGGACCAACCAGGCCTGGTACGGGCCCTTTCAGAAACTGATAAAGGCTTCTTCACAGTTCCACTGTGAACAGCCCATAACTGGATCCTTGAGGAACATTTCTGTGGGCTTTTCAAAATATCACCCAAACGGCTCCTACAGGGACTATTATGATGATTTTTCTGGATGTCACCTGAGGATTTTTTAAAGCACTACACATAGAGGGAGTGTGAAAGGAGTCTCCAAGATGCTTTAATTTTTTTAAATTAAAGTGCACACTTAAAAAAAAGATTGCATTACAAAGCTTATTTTTACCACTACTGCTATTTTAACACAAGGATTTTGCACTTCCACAATACAGCACCAGAGGTCAGCGCTTCACAACAAATGCCATGAAATACCTTTTAATCCACAACCACTGAACGCCAGATAGGCCAGTTTTTATCATTCATGACGGCTTCTGCCTGAAACATATCTGTTAAAATAATTGAGCTAAAAACACTATTACAAATCCAATTAATAGTGTGATGAATAGAGAGACAAGATTGTGCAATTTACGGGTTTATGAACATCAGGTAGAGATACGACCTCTCAGTGATTTTTAAATGTAGACATTGTTGAAGAAGGATGAGCATGAGTTGTATGGAGCATACAGCTTATTTAGGTTTGTTATCACCTTTAAGAGTATCTGTGTTTTAAAACTGAAAAGTCTATTTAAAATTGTATATATCACATTTCACTGTTGGATTATCTTTTAAAGGTTGTTTTCAAACCCGTTGCAACTGTATGTTGTGTGTACTGAAAATGTCTATCTCAGCTGACACTACACAAAGTTTACCATGATTCATTCAGATCAACAGGCTCACTTGGCTCTTTTACCAGCTGATCAGTAAATCGGCTTTAAACAGAGTTGAATAGCTTAGAGATCTTTGCTTTCAAAATGTAAAAGCTCTTTCATTGTAGCAGTACTACCAAACACTGATTTGGACACATTTTAATAAATATATTTTTTGGGCATTTTGTATCAAACAAACGTATTATTATTTTCATGAAACAGTATTTTGCCATTTCACAACTTTTAATTGTAATGCAAGGAAAATGTAAACTTAAACAATTTAAAAAAATGTAACAAATGTATGAGCCCTGTGAATGGCACGTCACTGAACACAGGCGGGTAAACCGGACAAGCTGCTGTCTGAGTTTTGAATATCAAGCAATGCCATACTGTTTAAAACAGGACAGAAACAGTTCATGTTGTTATTTTATTATAGACAAATATTTCATTCATAATTTTATAACAAGCCAGACCAAGTGATTTTGGTATCCCTGAAGACAACATAGAATTACTTATTCAAGTTTCCAATCAGCCCCCAAAAGTGACTCACTTCATGAATTCCAATATTGTAAAAAACACGCTTTAGTTTGGTCACACGCTTAGTTTGCCAAGGCATTTCATAGCTTACCAATAGAATAATTTGTCTTACTAACTCTTACTGCTGAATTCTAATAAAGACATAATGGTATTAAGTGAGAGCTAACACTTCTTCAAAACATAAATGATATTTCTTTGCATTCTTGATTACCAGCTGTCTAAGAGTAAATAGAAACCTGAAAATCATATCTCTTAAAATGTTAAGCTGCTTGTCTTTGAACATTTAAAACAGATTTTCAAGGTAATAAATGAGGTCCACCTGGAACTGAAAAGCACATATGAAAACCAAACAACAAACCATGTATTTACATGAGTTCTTTGCAGTTGTGCAGTTGTGCTGTCAGAAAATGTCCTCCATCTGACACGCTGTTTTCATTTTTCTTCTCCAACATTGATCGACACTGAAAGGATTATAAAGAAAATCAGTGAACACTACTTGCAAGACGCAGTGAACTGACACCTTCAGGTATATCTATATACCACAGTGGGATCTTTGGAGTCTGTTCTTTAAGATTAGATACACCACACTTCACTGCTGTACAGCATAAATCCAAATTCTGTTAAATGGACTTGAGCTTTATTTATTGTTCAATCATGAGGTAAATATCCAATCAATGACATGCAACAAAGAGACAGCAAATAAGAAAGAAATTAGATAATGTTGAATCTAACACAAGAGTGTGTTCTACTCGTTTACTCTTCAATAAGCTCAGCATCACCACATTACCACAGGTATGACTTATTGCTCACTACCTGATAGATACATCCTAGACTAGATTTTCTTCACTTCCAGCAACTTTAACAACTTCTTATTATTCCTTTGGAGAATAGATTTCTAACTTTCAGCATATGGCATGGGACAAGAAGAGGCGAAACCACCGACCAGACAGACAAGTGTTCCACTCTCCAGCTCTTAACAAGCATAGTAATACATCAGTCAAAAGCAATAATTTTACTATTAATGAAATTCCAATTTGCCTTCAGTGCATTTCACGTTGACATTTTCCACATTGCAACAGTGCTTTGATAAAGTTTTTAAAATGCAAAAACGCATCTAAGAGGCTAAAGACCAGCCCGGATGTCAGCGTGCCTGGCAGAGGACTATGGTACTTAATTTTTATCGCCATGTGCCCCGGGCATCGAAAGCCTGAATGTTAACATTGGCTCCATTTTCATTATCATCATATGATTATGGATTTTACTGCATTTAGCTGATAATACAACGAGGAACTCACCTTAAAAGAAGTCGCTTGGAGGTTTCATTTCTGCCCAAATGAAATTTTTATTTGACAAACAAGTATAATTAGGCTGCACTTCTTGTTCAGTGTCAGTCTGTTTTCTGATTGAACTTAGACCAATTTGCTGCCGCTAAATGAGTTTGTATAATTTCCATTCTGAATGTCTCGGGGACATTAGCTTCAGGAGTGCTAAGTGGCAGCATGCTGTTTGAAGTTACTGATTATTTGATTCCTCCCCTGTCTACCTATACGTTTTTCAGCTTACTTCAAAGTTAACAAGAAATAGCCTACCTCGGAGTACAATGAGAATTTGAAAGTGTTTTTGGCCAGGTCTCGGAGGCAAAGTGAAAATTACTTTAATAAGTGTGTAATACACTTCGTTAGCTTCAATGCTCTTTGCTTCTTCACTTTATTTCTTTCATGTTGCCACTTTTATTGAACAGAACGAGTTGATTTTCCTTCTGTTGAAACTGTACACCTAATAACTAATATTATCAGTTTCATTAAACCTGCTAATAATAAATTAATATATTATTAATTATGAAAACAGTTACATTACAGCCGGCTCTAACACTGTGCTCAGTTAATGATGTCAACAGAGTATTTAGCACAGATCAATAAAAAGGGAGAGCTGTTAATACCAATAGGTAGTTATAGGCCTTAAATAACCTTCGACCAAACACAAGTTTTAAATTCCAATAACAAAATCATAATCAATTTTATAGGAAACAAAAGTGGTGCAGATTACCTATAAATACTACTGTAAGCTTCTGCAGCCACATGGTGACAAGCAGATAGACCATGACAAAAAAAGTTGGATTATTTGTGTTTTTTCCCTTGATGGATTAGATGACCCAAATCTGAGTAACAGCTATTTCAGTAAGAGTAATCCAGACATCCTCATACACCAGTGTGGAAACCCAACCAGATAAATAGTGTGAATTCAAAATATGAGAGCAAAAGGAAGAGAAGATCACAACTAAAGCTCAACATGGGATTGATGAGAGGGAATGGGGATTTTGACAATGTGATTAAGTTATCATTTTAAAATATGGAAGCAATGCAGAAACGAGAAGTGTTGACACAAGAATAAGAGCTGTATGTCAATAAAGTGCTGACACTTAACATCCTGTATCCTCAAACACGTTTCCTCCAGACTGTTATTAGTTGTATGTCAAGATTTTGGAATTGGTCCACCAATGCAGAAGAATCAATCGTTTAACTACAGAAATATTTAAACTGTTGAGTAAACTAAATGTGTAGTCATGTAACAAGAACAAAAAGAATACTTTCAAAATAACAAATCCTGCCTGATTAAATCTATTTGACACTTTCACAGCATGAAAATAATAAACTGTTTACAATGAATACATCAATTAATATATGTTTACATTTCAAATTCTGTGTTTGAATGTTATATTTTAAATTATATTCATTACTTTAAAACACCAACAATACTTCATGCATGTTGAGATAACTATCACATAATGTCAAATTATCTGACATTACCATCTATTTGTAAACACCCCCTAAATAATTTCATAACAAAACAAATATTGTTCATCTTTTCAGATAATATATACTTTTTGTCCACTATGTGGTTATAAACTACACTATACATTATCATTATGAAGTTGTTTGAAAAAGCAGTGAAAAACACATCTACACTTCACCTGAGAAAACGGAATATTAATTGACATGCTTGAATTTTACGCAGTATTCTACGTCGAGAGTAATTTTATGCCACATAGTTGTTGACTTTTTGAATCTGCCATAACAATTACCTCACTGCATCGTGGAGACAGGCAGACTGCTGCTGTGTGTTCTCCCACCTGCTTTAGGTTGCTGCTGTGTGCCAGGAGACCCCCTCTGTCTTAAAAAAGAAACAAAGACCAGCATTATTCAACAAATACAAACTGATAAGAATTAAAACACACTTTTTTACTCACTCACACAAGGGAACAGATGCCACTAAATATATTTACTGAATGTAGTATTGCAATTAAAATATAACTTCAAACATAACTAAAGATCTCATAAAGCATTAATACAATAGTGATAAAGTGAATATTATGAATATATAACACTGGTATGTTATGGTATGTATGTAGAATAACATTCTTATTGTTTTTTGCTAATTATTCACATATTGAGTGAGCAAAGTTAATACTTACTACAGTTGAAATAGCCTCAGATAAAAGAGGTAAAATAGGTCTGAATAGTTCTATGTACTCAATGATCAATTCATATTCTTTATTTTTGGACACAACAGGGAGCTATATATAGTTGTTGAATATATTCTATAAATGAAATACTCAAGGTTTAAGGACATTCTATATGTCTGTTACATTTCAGCTTGATATATTTCATTACTTAGCTTTGTGCCCTAAGCAAACAAAAAGTTTTTAGAATTAATGAGACCAAGTTAGAGATGATTTGTCATCTCCCTTGGTAAGGATTTCTAAAGATGAAATCTCTCTTAACCCTCTCCACAAACACAACAGTGATAAAGCCAAAATCTGATTTTGGTATCTACGGCCCACAGTTTTGCATCCCGATCCATAGGAAAGCTGATTAGCATTGGCAGCTAGAACATATGTGAATTGCTTCAGATACCAGAGAACAAGAAACCCCTGAACTGGGCTGCCATGGGCACGATGAATAAATGTGAAGAAACAATACAAGTGATTAAGAACCATATGTACGGAAGGCCTCAACGTCCTGGCAGCTTAAGTAGCCTTTTATCATTAAAGGAGGAGTTTGCCTTATGCTCTTACTGCTGGGAGTGAACTCAACTTCAATAGCCATCAATATTCTCCTTCTATTCAGATGGCCAAATCCCAGGTGAGTGACAGGTGCCAGCTACAGGTCTGTTAGGAGAGAGCGTTTGTTGATATAACCCTGTTTTCCTCTCTTTGAGCGACTGATCTGCAAAGGTACACATAAAGGCCCTCCTTCAGCAATGTACACAGAGCACTTCCGAGGAGTACATAAAAACGCCTCTCCCTCCCTCCTTGCAACACTAAACACAATGTGTGTGTGTGTGTGTGTGTGTGTGTGTGTGTTGGGGGGAGGGGTAGGGGGGCAGTGAGATGAATGCGGTGAGGCTGGGGGACTCAAACAAATGCTGGAGAGCGGCAAGTTTGCATTTGCCCATACCAACAAGCTCCTATCTCATTAACAAACCGCTGAAATAAAAGAGTGCTTTTTTGGCTCACAGCTATAAAAAAAAATTATCATAGTGATGATGTTCCTCAGCCGTCAACAGAGCTGTGATAACGTTGTTTGATGATGACTTTCCCATGAATGTTAAGCAGCCGCCGCGGCAGAGGAAAGGAGCTTATCAACGTCTAATGCCCATCTCTAATTCCTGCCCTTCTTGAACTAGCCATTTTCTAACAGCGTTAACTGTCAAATTTACATCCCGTCTTAATGCCACTAAAGAGTACGGGGGATGAAGAGTAAATGACAGCAGTGTAATGAGGAAGGCAAGGCATTCCTTCTCCTACTCTCTCTCCCCCTCTATTTTTCTATGGAGAAAAAGATTTCCACAATATGAGGCCTTTTTTCCCCCCTCCTCTTGTGCCATGATGCTGTGATGGAGAGCTTACCTGTAAACTTAATATAGGTGCACAGGAGTTTGTATTTGCTGTTGGCTTTAATGTAAAGGAGGTCAAATAAAATATATGACTCACAAAGCATTCTGACACTGCAATGAAGAACTTAGGGGGACTTTTGAATCAATCAGGTAAAAGTGAGGTGGTTTAGAAAAACAAGGAAAAGGGATAAAAAAAAAAATGTAGGCTGAAAATATGCCACTGCAAAAAAAAAAAAAAATCATTGTAGTAGAATAAGGATTCCAGAGGGGTCGATTGACGGCACAGCGTAACATTGTATGCCACAACAAGAGTGGATTGTTATTCCTAACATCTGTTTTGAGCAATTTTTAACATTAATGAATTACCAGCAAAAGATTATTAATAAGTAATTAATATTGGTGCTGCTCTGTATTTAACCTTATTAGCACAGTTCAACTTAACATGCATCCTTTTCCTTGTCTCCTTTTTTCAAACCTTCTTTACAGTATCAGTCCTTGGTGCTCAGTGCAGATGATGAAACAAAAGAATGACTTTCATCAGTATCACCATTTCAGTTCCCTGCTTTAAAGTTAACATTTCAGTTAAAACAGTAAGAGTTCTTATGGAAACAATAAATGAAATGTGCTATAGTTTGGTTGTAAATAGTCATACTTCAAATGTCTTTAAGAATCTGTTTCTTTTTATTGAATAAATAAAATGTATTTATTTGTTAAATAAAACCTTTCAGCTGTACAATAATGTGTTATCATTAAGTCACAAAAAACATTTTACAAAGAACAAGTTATAACTGGGGGTATTTCTCAATTTAAATACGATCTGATGCAATACGAGACAACAATACGATAAGATATGTAACAATGCAATGATACAACACAATATAATAGGATATGATACGTTACAAACAATACAATACCATATCTTAAGATATGATGCTCTTTATTGTCCCCTTGGGGAAATAATTAAAAGCAAGTTTGATGTTTTTCAATGCCTGGAACAATTTCTGATGTAATTTGAGCCACCTACCCGATCCTAAAACCATAATAAATGTATTAGGTTAATCATTCCTATCAGTCTGAGGAATTTATTTCTGTCAGACAATAAACAGCTCTGAGTGCAAACATTTAGGCCACAACAACATCTGCAGTGTGAGGTATACAAGGGACCTCTGGATAATATAGAAAAGCACCATTGAAGTGTCACAGAATAATCCATGGAATAGGTACTTGTGTACTGGTTGTAGTGTTTTTGTGAAAGCTAATGTGATTAACCCACAGCTTTACCTTATCATTGTGTCCACTCTAAATTAGTGGTGGGGAAATTTGAATTCAATATGCAATCGTCCTTCTCACACAAGAAAATTGGAAAAAAGATAAATAGAAAAAAAGGTTGTACCTTCCATTAAAGCTGCTATAATCAATCATGCGAGTGAACCTATGAATCTAATCCATTTCATCTGACAGTCAGGCCAGCTCAGATAAAATCTCAGCTCGTCTGATTGGACCATAGAAAGATTCAGACTGAGCTAATTTCATGCTGATCTGGATGCCTCCTGTGAAACTATCCAACGTAAGAGGTTATAGTCATTTGGAAAGGAAGAGACAACAGATAAATGCTGAAATAATGTGAAGGGCCTTCTTACCTTTGAGAAGAAATATTTTAATTTAAATGGATAGCTTTATCAGAGTTAAATCCTCTGTCTGAGATTACACCAATTAAACATCAAATACAGAGAACCAACAGCAAATACTGAATGTTCTCCTGCTGAGAATGCTGCCATGCTGTTCAAAGACATTTACTTATTACTATTACTACCCCCATATATATATATATATATGTATACATCTATCTATCTATATATATATCTTTCTATCTATCAACAAATACATTTTATAAACTGCGTAGCTGCAAAACCAGATCCCAGTGGTCTGATGTTCTTTCATCATTGTGTCTGTGTGTGGATGATCTGTTGTGTGAAATTTATAGTTTTACTATAACTTAAGCAAACGGGGAAAAGAGAGGATGGGAAGACTGGAGGGAGGGGTAGATATCCTGCATCACTTAGGCTACTGCTTGCATAAATGTTTCAGCAATGGGATGCATACAGTTTGTGTCTAACTGCATGACTAATTTACAAAACATTTCCATCAGCTGTTGATGTTTCTTCAGCTGAGAATAAATACTGTTTCAAAAAGAGTATAGAAGGAAGGTGCAACATAAGCTAACATGTTGAACTAATCGGGTCAAGGCCCTGACACACCAGACAGACGGCAAAGAACTAGTGGTGACGAAGGCCGTCTGTGGCGTCGCCTCACGTCTTGGCCAAAAAGTTGTACTAGAACACACCGCAAGGACTACAGCCGACGGCCAACCACCACGTACGCTCTGCTCATGCGTGAGGGGCGGAGGTAGCTCGTTGTTATGATATGATATATGAGAAGACCAATTTCATACTGCTGTGGCCCACCACTCGTATTATAGGTAGCCCACTGATGGAGAATAACGTCTGATTAAAAGGTGAAAATGGGGCTGGTGTTATCAGCCATTTCTTTTAGTGGGAAAAGAAAAGACATTTAAGGAGAAACCGCACTAATGGGTGAAAGCATGGATAGCACAGCGGCGTCCTCAAGGGGCTTTCCTGAACCTGAGAGGAGAGCTGGAGAGAAATGAAACCTTCGAACAGCCAATCAGAGAGATCCCTCTCATCGACGGTGATTCAACATGTTGAATTGGCAAAAAAAAAAGGTAGTGACAGAGCCGGACACACCGCAAAAACTAAGGCGACGACCGCTCACCGACGGTCCAACAAGGAGCAACGGCCGACGATCTCCTCGGTGTGTCAGGGCCTTTAAAAGAGAGCTTCATTATGTTGAGGACTCTGGCTTCAGGTTTAACACCTAACATAACAATTAATCTTGCTACACAGTCACTACCTCAAGTTATTACTTTTATCTAGTATTCAAAGGTATAAATAAATATAGTATAAATATATAACTATAGTATATAGTATAAATACGATAGCTGGGAAGTGCAAACCAAAATTACAAAGTTTGAAACACTTTTGAAAAGCTTGAGACAAATATACATTTTGGAAAACATTTAAACATTTAATAAAACAAAATGACTAAAGCAACAGACTTTTACCAAAGACAAAACAAATGTAGGCTTCCATTTACAAAACACATTTACAAGATAGAAACACTTTTACCAGTCGCCAAACAAATGTACAAGCGACAGATTTCTTACATGAAAGGCAATATACCAAACAGGAGTGTCCAAGAAGTGATTGAGTGAGCGGTCAATTTATTATTTTGGGTGGAAAGACAAAATGGACAAAACATGATTTGATGACCATTAACTCTGCATAAGAGATTTAACACAGTCTTTATAACTCCTCAATCACTTCCAGGTCACTTCTTGCTTTTAGTACATTCCCTTCCCGGGAATATTCTACCATTCTGCCATTCTGTAAATGTGTCTCAGTGCTGTGTTTTGCTTTAGAAATATTGTTTTAAATGTGAAAATGTTTTCCAAAGTGTAAATTTGTGTCAAGCTTTGCAAAAGTGTTTCACACTTTGTCATTTTGGTTTGCACTTCTCAGCCACTGTAGTTAAATGGTGTATATGTATAAAAATCTGACAACCATAGCGCTGAGACATCCCCTGCTTTAGATGGGGTAAACCTGGAAACATCGAAAGGACACAGCTCTTGTTAGTCAAAGATTCTTTGCTCTGCAGTTTGCTGTTGCAGCTGAGCTCTGCCTCTGGGCACAATAGATTTGACACAAGAGTGCTGATGAATCTCATCAGTTTAATGTGTTTATGCTTGCTAAGCCCTAAAAGCTTATTGCTGTTCAATGGAGTGCTACAAAGTTACCTAATTTCCCCTCTGGTTGGTTCTCAGCACGCTTGCTACACAGACTCTCAGTAACAAGATGTACGCTGCAACCTGTGGAAGACAGAAGGCATGCTGTGTCTCCATGATTTGTGTTATCGGGTAGAGAATAGACCTTGACAGAAATACAGTGAGCACAGATATTACTGTTTTTTTCCACCATAAATTCTGCCCATGACTGTCTCTCTCCCTCCACATTCATCCCATTTTACAGCCTTTTCACAGTAAGTGCTTTAGTCTTATCTTCACTGCCCCTACCTCGCCTGTCTCATATTCTAACCAATGAGGTTGGCTGCCTATATGACAGCTAACACCCAGTATTAATTAAAATGTCATGCTTTCAAATCAATATTTTAAAACAGTTCAAACACAACTCTTTGCTACTGCTGTGATAAGTGCTTTTGGGTGACAGGTAAGTCCAAAGAAAGAGATGCAGAAGAAATTGTATGACGGAATAATCCAAAGAGTACATGTACCCTTAAAATGTATGACCCCCCCTATGTGTTACTTCATCACTCACAATTGCAAATTATCCACACTGTCATTAAGTGTTGCTGCGCTAAACTGACAGATCCATAAGTCAGCAGCATCAGGCCAGGAGGCTTGATGCTCCTTAGCTTCAGATGTCTGACTTCAACATTGAAAATCACTGGTACATGCTTATTTGGGAGAGAAGGAGAATGTCAGATGGGGTTTATCAGGGCTACTTAAATAGCTTGAATTCACCTGATTACACTCATGCTCTGTTATGACAGAATTAAAGAAACGATGCAGCGTCTTTGTACGTTTTTTCATTTAACTTCTGTGACGAGAAGTATAGGCTTCAGCTATGAAAAGTTTGAGTTAATATAGTCAATAAAAGAGAATTTATTTTAGCAATATTTCTACTATTATGAGTGAGAAATGGGGTTTGACTCAAAACTTTTCGGGGCTGTACGTGATCACACATTCTCATTGATAGACATTGTTTAAAACTAATGCCCGTGAATGGATAGAATGTGACAAATTCTGTCCGAGTAAATATGGTTTAATAAATGAATTAGCTTCATAAATAATGGCTGTAATGACATTTTAAGGGACAATAAGCCTAAGCGTTGTCAGGAAATAGTTGATGTATGAGTTTCATGCCTCAGCAGTTCCTCAAAATGAATAGGCTTGGGAAGATAGCAGGGGCCTGCAACCAGCCTATTTCCTCGAATTATCTACTTGTTGTCAATTTGCACAGTGGAATTACACATGCAAATTGAACTGCCTGCACAAACACCACTTGGAGATGATAAAAACAAATTAACAAAGGCTATAGAAGGAGGATTTATTTCACTGGCTAACCCAGGTCAAGCAATACACGTATCGTACAATTGTGTGTACCCAATTTTGGTGTAATTATATCAGCAAATTATTCTTTGTAATCTTATTATTTTCCACAACCTTCTCCTTACACACATAATTAACTAGCTTCATATCCTTGTGAGAGAAAAAAAAACCCTTTGCCTCTGCATCAGAGCAGAACAGTTTATTGGGATTTCTTGTCACCTCTTTGCAGATGAAATCTCGAGGAAGGTGAGAAGTCAACAGTGAAGTGACAAGATTTAGTGTAACCGTTTGGCAAAAGACACAATGTTAACCCTTTTAACATCGTCTCTAATACTGGGAAGGAAATGAAGAGTCTCTGGACCTCCACGTTTGCTATTAGATATCTCATTTACTTTGTACACACAGTGCTAATCTGCACTAATGAATTCTGCCACACCACGCCAGATCGAGATGACTTAAAATTATTACCACTTCCACAGATATGCCTTTCCTCATTTGAGGCTCAATTTGGCTGGCTCGCAAAACAGTCTGTCACAGTAAGATACAAATAATTAGGGTTTTAAGATGATTAGTTTATCTCTGTGCTCTTCCAGTCTTTCCTCTTATCCACCATGCCCAAAACTTAATAAGAGGCTCTAAGTTTTAAAAAGCCAACTCCAAATTACCAAGAAATGACGAAAAATAATGAACTGGAGCACATGCCAGGGAGAGAGAAACAGAGAGAGAGCGAGAAACACAGAGATGAATGTGGGAGAGCTAAGTAACATTAATTCAAGTGTGAAATAGAGCACAAAGTCTGGTAATCAATAAGGATTGAAGGGAATGATTCAGACCTGTAATGCCAAAATTGTTTAGTATTAACAGGACTTTGTGACTCTCATTTACCTCCAGAGCTACTGTGCTCATCAACTTGTCACATAAGTAATTTAAGTCACAATAAGGCTGAGTGAGTGATACCAGTTAATGGTTGCATACTTAAGAGGATGATATAGTGATTTTACATGTTTGGGGTGACATTCAATATAGCATAAGCCATATCTGCCCAGTTTAATATTCACAGCGTTATGCAAAGCTTGACTGTTTTAATCTCTTATCTTAGGGTATACAGGGAGGTCAAGGGGAACACAAGGTCCTCATGCAGGTTTTTGTTTGTTAGTTTGTTTTTACATTAGATCACAGAAAGCACTGGATAACACAGATTGAAACTATTTTGTTTGCAATCAAAATGTTTCAGGACACAGGCTTGCATCATATCTCTAGTCTGATTTTTTGGTTGTGTTTTCTTGTACTTTCATATTTGTCTGATTCTAGCTAAAACTTAGTATCATTTAATTATTGGTTGTCCTCAATTACATTTTCATTTGGCCAATTTATAATCTTTCCAAACAGATGAAGGGAATTTTGCCAAACACAAAGTTCAGAGAAACAAAAATGCCTTTAAATATCTTGTTAAAATATTCACAACAGTTCCAAATGTACTTTTTTTTCATTATCAATGAATAGGCCTACACATAAAGCAGCAGAACGTTAGAGGCTTGAATAAAGTGGGACATTACTCTTCAAACATGATTCATAATCCTTCAGTTACCAATAACATTGTAGATTCCTTTTTGTCCATTGGTATGTTCTGTAACTGTGTCATGGCCTGTTTATCATAATATCTCTTTGATATGAAATCATTTAAAATGATCAAAACATTGATTTGGCAGCTAAACCAGGTATCATGTCCAACCAGTGTTTTATAAATCAACAGATACTCTAATCCTTACAGCACAACAAGGGAAATTAAAATACTTTGGGCTATCTGTAAGAAACTTCAAAATAAAGTAGTTCAGGTGGCCATTGTCTTTTGGATATACATTGGTGTTAAAGGTCTCCCTCTGTGTTATATATTATTAGGGAACAAAAATTACAGGCTTTAATTTATGAAGATCATCAGCTTTGCAATAAGATGCAACCAAAAGAAAGCTTAATATGAATGAGTGTGAAAGAGCAATTTAAGGGTAGATGTGCTGTGCCAGTGCCAGGGGGCTATACAAGATTTGCATGCTAATCATTCTAATAATAATGTACATGCCCAAAGCACTTTGAGCAAATTGCGAACCATTGGTCATAGAAGGAAGCTTATCTTGCCCAGAACATGACACAAATATAGGTTAAAATTTGAATGATTCCAGGTAATTCACAGACTAGTCAGTGGCTTGGCTCACCTCAATTAGAAATGCCTCACAACAGCTTTCTCTTGACTTTACGTCCTCACTCACAGTCACTCAGAACGTAAAGTGTATGGTTCAGCTTTAAATCATTGCCTTTGTCCTACATGTAAATGTCACCATAACTAGAGGTCTTAAGCATATAAGCGGTGTGTTGTGCCGAATCTAACACTCCAAACTAAACGCATGCCGTTGTCTTTAACAAAAACGACCAATAACAGACTAGTTTCGTTTACTTGCTTCTGATTGGGTCACGGGTTAAACGTAACCAGCTATCAGCCAATTGGCAACATCTTACAGAGACGTCAGCGTATTTACCCGGAAATAAGCGCCTGATCAAGTAACTGCGGTCAAAGTATATCTATTTTTTACCCAATTTTAAGCGTTTTAAATAAATAAAATGAAAAATTGCGGTTCTATCTGATTGTTAAGTAACAAATCAGAATGTACAACGGACTCCTGCCGAAAGATTTGACTGAAGAGGACCTGAGTTCAGATGACGAGCAGGATGACACGAAGCATAATGTTGAGGAGAAGAAGGAGGAGGAAGAGGAAGAGGAGGCGGAGGGCGACAGCTCTGCTCAAAAGTTGGGCTCTGCCGGGGAAAACAAAGACTCAGGGGCTGCTGCTGATTTAGTCAGTATGCCTGGTATATCCCAGGAAATGTGGCAAGTATGTTGAATTAGTATGTTTTCAGCTCATTTGAATATCCTTTCTGCTTAAACCATAGGGTTTATAGTCTCGTTGTTGTTTGCAAGAGACGGTTTGCGTTCTTTTTTTATGAGAAAGCTCCTAATGTCAAATCTTGTAAGCAATATTGTGAATTCAGTCTTTGTCTGTGTTTAAGAAATTTCAGCATCTACAGAAGAAAAATGCTGAAATGAAGGCAATGCCACTCATCAGAAGACGAAAAAGAAGACGACCCAAAAAAGGTGTCAATGATAATATAATAAACACATGTTATATGTTGATGCATCTGTGAGGATGTATTTTTCATATAGGCCTTCTACTCAGATAAAAAATCTGAATAAAATAAACGTTCTTTTATACATAGAACTTTATGTCCCCCTGTTAATACTGTAATAAATTATATTAATTGGACAACTGTTATCCTTTGCTGCTTTGATGCAAATCTTTAATAAATGAATGTAATAACCTTTAACCAAGTGTCTTATGTCATACAGCAGGAACAAAGAGTGAGGAACCTACAGACACAAGGTACCACAATTATAATATCAAACCAGCGATATTAGATCACAAACGTGGCATGTCATCCAACTATGCTACTGTATGTAAGAAGCTAAAAGTGTTGACTGTCGAATTAAGAAATGTGGGCAGTCCTTTCTGAGATCTCATGCAACAAGGTATAAGGCTTGAATCCTTAAGGCGGTAAAAAGAAAACATGGTTTGTTTAAATAAATTAGAAGGATATGTGATTGTAACAATGATGCCTCCTCACAGTGCTGAACTACTTTTTATGAACATTAACCCACATTTTCTCTGCCAGCAGTAAGCTTCAGGAAGAGCGGGAGAAGCACTGGGATGAGCTGAAGCAGTATTTTGGTGTAAATGATCGATTTCATCCACCCCCATGTTCTGAACCCCCTCCAAAGGTAACAAAGACTCCTGCCTACCAACTTATCTGTTGAGGTTTAATACTGTGTGTCAGTCATAGCTGCTAGTAACACCTTCTCATCTTTTGTGTTTTCATTGTGTCCTTTATTGTTTTATATGACATTTGGATTTGAAGATCCTTCTGCTAATGGGACCTGACACTAAGATGAATATTTAGGATTATGTTTGGCTATGTTAAGTGATAAGATTTGGATGGATCTCCTTTCCTGTGTGTTTCAGATTACAGTCAATTGTAGGTTTAGCTGCAGTAGACACCGAGTGAAAGTGTGAGTTCTGCTTCAGAGGTTTAGAGAGGGTTAGAATCCCCTTTTTGCAGCCTCTGTTTTTGCAGCTGGAACCATTAAAATAACTGTTGGATGATAATTGTGCCTGTACTACAACTGCTGTAGAATTTGTCAATTAAAAAATATATCTCATTTTCTTTATTCTGTTATAAACTCTGCATTTAAAGATCACATAGTCTGCATAGTATTTCAATTTGCCAATGAAGCAAAAATATTTGCAAGCTTCATGATCCTTATAACAGACCCAGTGATTTGTAACTGTTCTCATTTCATCTGGGAATTCCTTCAAATTATTATTTTCGAGTATGTTTTTGCTTAATTTATCTCCAAGCATAAAATTGAGTTATTTAGCCTCACTTTGAATAAGCTGACTATGAAAGCATACAGGAAATTATTAATAAGTTGAAAGAAACAGCACTTGTCACATAAATGAGGGTTTCCTTCATCCCACAAATTAAGGTTTTATAATTCATTGATACTATATGTATTATTTCTGTTGAGTTTTAAACTCTTTCATTTAAAGAAAAAATCTTCCACCGCAGAAAGAAGTAATAGACTGATCTTCTACCAGCATTTCTATCAATTTGAGTATGGTTTGTAAGATTCAATTGACAACAGCTGACATCACAACTTAAGTAAGGTCAGCTAAAACTTTGTATGCAGACAGTAAAAAATAAATAAATAAATAAAGCAAAAGATGCTTAAAAAAAGTTTGATTTCCGAAGCATGTTGGTGTTGTTTGTTCTGTAAGAGGTCAAACAAAACATCAGAGGAGGCACTTTAATAATTACAGCCTCTTTCCAGTGTAATTTTTACCATAATGAAAATTTTGGGGGCTGAAGGAATCTGGCGCTCCGCTTCCTCAAATAAGCTCATCACAGCAGAACTGTCTTGCCATCAGTAACCAGAGGCTTCTCTGCATCCCCCTCTGCTTAGGCCTGTAATGGAAATGTGTAATTAAAGAGTCACATTTATGTTTGGTAATCTCCTGTAGCATTTCTAAGATTTCCCCACTAATATCCAATCAGAAAGGTTTTCATTTGTGAAGAGAAATCTACATATTTGTAGTAATGGCAATCATATTAAAAATAAGGCCCTGGGGGACTTTTGAAGTTAGTCTTTGATTTTTTTCTCTCTCTACCCCATTTAAAAAAAAAAAAAAAAAAAAATCTGAATTTCTTTCCCCCTCCTCTACAGTCCGGCCTAGAAAAGAGCACAGAGAGGGCCATAGCTGAAGGGGACACTGCAAAGGCAGAGGAGATGAGCGACAGACTCGCCACTCGAGAGGTACGTTGTGCTGATAAGATCTTTGGGGTTCCCCTGCTGTGACAAATCAGCCTAATGGATCCGTGGCAATTTCTACTGCAAAGACATAGGGGAACAAAAACATATGCAGACAGCCGCCATTCAGTCCTGCAGCCCTTTTCCATTGAGTTAATGGAAAGCCCTCCCCTTAGTTTTGAAGTGCTGCAGTGTCTAAAGGACTTTTGGCTCTGCTTTTTAATGAAGGGTACATTGCTTTCAAGCCAACTGTTAAATCATTCTCCAGGTAAGAGTTTCATACCTTTGAAGTGAACATGGCCCTAAATGCGGTGCCTGAAGTTTTGTAGCTAACCGCCTTTGCAGGCATCAAGGATCAAGTGGTTTGAAACTAATTTAGAATAAAATGTAGCCCACACACACATATAATTGTGGTTAGAAAGACATACAGATGCGACGTTACGTTTCCAACGGGGGGAATTGCTATACTTTGAGCATGAAAGTCAAACTTCTTTGTTTCATGATATATTGTGCTTACAGCATCCCATACCTTTTTCATCTTTCAATAATAGCAACACAAACATGAATAACACTGTGGGCTCACATTTCTTTGTCATACCTGGATTGTTGCAGAGTTCCAAAATAGGCAGGAGTGCTGGAATAGAAAATATTTTCCCTCACTCTGAATTGCCAAGACAATTTCTGCTTTTAATAATTCTCTATGTAACTCATCATAAACATGGGAGTGACCTGATGATAGAATATGGGGACATGACCAGCAATTTAGTTAATTCATATGGTATAGTCTTATTTTTATCTTGTTTTTATTTGTCTTTTACTTACCGATGGGTTACTGTATCTTGTTTTTTTACTTAGGGCTTTAGTATCATGTTCTGTGCTGTCTTTTGTGTGTAAAATAATTCCCACTCACTCACTGTGAACCAAACGTCCCTACAGGTGGAAATAAAGTTACCTTACCTGACTCATCTTGATCTAGTAAACATATTGTGCAAACCATGGGTTCTGTCATTATGCAATAATAAATAGTTCCAGCTGAAAACTTACTTTGAAGACAGATTTCTATTAGGCTTTTCAGGTTTTCCCATTTAATTTGTCAAATTTTGAAGTTTGTGTGTAAAACACTGATGCTCAGTATAGGAGGGGATTCTGGATGGTGGGTGCTGCAGACTGCAGGTGTATGTGAGCTGCTGGTATCTTCTGGTCTTGAAGTACTGTTTTTACCACTTCGGGTTCATGGACATGGGCTCACAGTTTACAAATCTGCATCACCAGGTAACTTGGGACCTCTCTTGTCCTCCAGTTACCACAGAAGTTCCCTCCTCGCTCTTCACTCTTTAAAACCTGTTGAGTCTGCACTGTCTGTCCCACATTTTTCCTCTGTTGAACAATTTTCAAGTGAGAGCACTGTGAGCTCAGCGACAAACAAACATCTGATGCTGCATTCGTTTTTGCACTTAGGATGCTAAGCGCTAAACTGCATTGGTTTTGAATAGAAAATGGGTGCTGCTGGCAGCGCAAAAAACAGTGTTAGTGCACTAACGATGAAGACAAACAAACAATAAAGATTCATATATTTAAAATTTAGTTAACCAAGTTAAACGGCAGAAAACACAGAAAGAGAACGGAGAGGTCAACAATGTCCTCTGTGAGAAGACAGAACTTGAATCTGTTTCATCTCAACTCAGCCTTTGGTTGAGTCTTGTATGTAAAACACAGTAGATGAGTGTTTGTCCCCTCATGGGTTAGAAGCCTTCCACCCAGGGAATCACACGTTGTTTAAGTCTAAAAGATCACAGTAACCATCTGTGAGCATTCATGACTGCAAATAGCATGAGACAGTATGACATAGTCGCTGTAAACTTGTTTTTTTTTTTTGCTTGGATTTTTCTTTGGTGAGAATTTTCTCTATACACTTACCATACATTCTTTTTGAGGACATAAGGGTCACTTTTTCTAAAAGTGCATTGGCCACTACCATGGCCAATGCACTTACTATTGACAAGTACC